GTGCAACTGACCACCGGATGGTAAATCGCATGCCGTTATACAATTAGAAGATTTTTTTTTCTTTTTAAGTCTCACTTCAATTGTATGAAGACATATGGCGTAGAATTCTATGTTTTGGTCACATTAAAAAATCTCTCTATAAAGAAAATAAAGTGTACAAATATCATTAGATTTTTTTTTCTCACCCCATCTCACCCCAAACACGGAGAACCTTGCATGCAACTGATGATATTACTCTCTCGTTAAGTCACAACATATCTCATGTCTTGGCATTCATTCCGTGACGAGTGTCATAGGAAGCCGTAGTTTTACTTTCAGAGTGAAGTCTTCTGCTATTTTGGATCATACAATAAATTTGTGTAACTTTTAAGTTATGTATAGTATTAAAAGGAAGAAAACAAGGGTTCAATTATTTTGGGTAAGAGACAGATGAACTTGAGCTGAATTTCAGAAGGGTTGGACCCTGCTGCATTGGGCGAATACATGCATAGCAGTGAGTTCACAAAGTCTTAAAAACTTCAAATGGCCACCTAACATTCTACATACACACAATTATTATTATAGCTACTTGTAAGAATGTGAAGGTAAAATAGCCCCATATCGGTGAAAGAACAAATCTTGTAAGAGCTTATAAGTAAGTTGAGTTACTTATCATATTGTAAATTAGTTTTATGGTAGAACCTAAACTTTCTTCATGGCATCAAAGTAGGTTGGTCCACGTGTGAAACTCAACGGCCACACGTGCTCCACGTCACCCAATTTGTGTTGTCCACATGTTTGGCTTAAAAATCCCTCACACGTGAGGGGGCGTGTGAAGATGTGAAGGTAAAAGAGCCCCACATCGGTGAAAGAAAAAACCTTATGAGGGTTATAAGAGATTAGACTATTCTCCATATTACCAATTGGTTTTATAGTAAAACATCAAATCTTAACTACTTACTCAATTTTTCATATATATATATATATATATATATATATATATATACCAAGAAAAATAATTTTATTACTGAATTTGGATGAGGTATTAAATTATTAAAAGTATGAGGAAATTAACTTGTAAGTGTTAAACGATGGTGACAGCTCATGAGGACGGTGGTAATGATTGTTGTACGTGACTATGGTGAGATATAGACTATAGTGGTGGTGGGGGGGGAACCGGCCTTATAACTCGCAAAACGAGCAATGAACTGAAAGGGCCGGAATTAACGGCTGATGTTTGGATTTACAGTTCATTCAAACGTCGTTAAGTCCTTTGAATTTTCGTTATCAATAAAGCATGATAGAGATTCATCACAGTCTCTCATAATTGAAACACCTATATATGTATACAGCTCTGTAGCTCGTTTAATCAATCCCCTCCACACGACATGTACCATCAAAAGCTAACTTTAAGTGCCGTTGTCTCCCTTCCAAACCTTGATGTGGAAACAGTACAGTCGTATAGTACACACACACACAGATATATGTATGTGTGCGTGTGTGTGGTATGGAGCAAACTGCAGTGTGGTTGAGAAAAACACAGTGCAGTCCAACCACCTGATGCAAATAGCATTAACTAGGGTTTGCCTGCTGTAACAAGAACAATGTCATGATCAGTAGCTCACGTGAACGTGTTGAATCTTAAGTCAAGATCATCCCATGCAAATATGAACGACTTGTATGAGTGTGTGTGGACGAGATTAAAATGGACGTATACTTCATACTATACCGTGTTGAATCCAAACCCTGGCATGCATTCCTACTATACCGAACGCGCGCCAAGATTAAAATGGACGTATACTTCATAACCTGTACATCAAATGTCAGATGCTTTATTTCAACATTTCACACTCAAAGGTCTACACAGGCTGTAACCCGCAGGCTAACTTTAGTTTTCTTCTTGTTGGTTTGCAACTGGCAGGTAGGGCTTCTGGATATTGCATATTTTGACTGTCAGTACTGATCTCACCCATATCATGACTAGTAAATAACCACAGAACTGGAGGCGAATACGAACGGTCATTGTATAATACATAAGTTCTCTGTGCATTAGTTCATCTTATAAAAGAACAAATATATATCAATCTTGTAGTAGATTTATCGAAAATACAAATTAATAATATGTTGATACGTTTTGTTATTGTTGCGAATGATAACGACTCTTTATAAGCAAGGTATAAGAGTTCATTCTTTATTAAAGAAACGTACATTCTATATATAGTCCAGCTTATGCACTACTATACATAACAATACTATTTGACATTATCTTCTCAAAGCAGCAGCCTCTGTTGATCTAGTCATTTTATAAATTAAGCCATTAGAATTATGCATATTCACACGAATTTGAAATTGTGAATTTGTGAATGCGACGGGTTTGTCATCATCAACATGAAAAGATCATTTAATAATTTCGCCCTCAAAAATCTATTCCAACCCTTGAAGTAAAACTCAAATTTTAAGTTCTAAACTTATTCCAACTGGCTCCAACCCTTGAGGCAAATATGATCAAATCCAACAGCAAAACAGAAGATCTAACCATCCAAATTTGAAAGTAATTAAAAAATTCTTTTAGTTGTTTCATATTCTTTTATAGTATTCCACGAGTTTCATGGTGTCAGTTTAGTAATTTTTCAATATTTATCGGAATATAAATATTTTTAAGTTAAAATGTTCATAAAATGAAATTAGGATAGTTTACATAATTTTTTGTTCTAAAAAAAGTTACTTTAAGAAAAAAATTATCATAAATTTATTCCTTAATAATCTCGGGTTAAAAATTTAAACCAAATAATTGAAGAAGAAAAACTATTTCTAAGTTAAAAACTAAATTATTTGAGTTAAAAATTATAAATTTTAGCTTAAAGATTGGAGATAGTCTAATTGGAAAATCGTTCCCATTATATCATGGCTATCTACTTTAATTATTCGCGTTCTATAATTAAAATCATCATGTTGCAGAGAAAGAGAGAGTTTACCTTTTACTTTTTTCCTTCACTTTTTTTAACTATCAAAACAAAGAAATCCAGTCTTTTCATATGTTACACCTTGCATGCCAAACAAGTCCCAATTCAATGGTGTTTCTCTTCCCAAAATGAAACAAGTCCCAATTCAATACCCCCCATGTCAGATTTTTTTTTTTTTTCCAACCGATATGTTTTTTGTTATTATAAATGATATTTGTAGGATCCATTTTAAAAAGAAATCAATTAAAATAAATTTTCAAGATCTATATAAATGATATTTGTAGGACCCCTTTTCTCATATGTCAAATTTGACATATGAAAACTCATATGTCAAATTTGACATATTAAAACTCATATGTCAATCCACATAGGATTCACATATCGGTTGGAGCTTGCTCCTACCTTCAAATTTGATTACATGACATTCCACTTAGAATTTGACCTCTCATTTGGAGATGGTCTAAAGGACGCTCTCAAAGTGAGGCTCTCCATATATTTTATGTCACCTTCTATTCTAACGTTAATTTTCGTGCCTATATTATAAAATATTGTGCAAAAAACATGAGGTTAGAAAGTTCATGGAGAGTCCCTTTTTAGCTAGAGGACTCCCTTAGCATTTCTCAAGAAGAAGAAAAAATTGTATTTGTTGTCAAGAGAATTGATAAGGAGACTGTCTCAAAAGTCAGACTCTCTAAAAAAAAAAAACTATCTATGAACTCTCTGTTATCTCATAGTTTAACATCAATTTCCATACTAACATTATAAAACATTGTGCCAAAAACATAAGATGATAGAGAGTTCATGAAGAGTCTATTTTTTAAAGAATCCCCTTAGTATGGAAATCAACAAGTTGATTGTTTCAATGAATTGCCCCTTTTCTTTTTTACATGCATGATAATAATTTAAACTACTATAATTTATTGGATATGATGAGATTCAAATTTAAATACACGGGAGCCAACACTACCCTTAAACTAGTAACAAGAGGAATACACGGGAGCCAACACTATCCTTGATCTATTAACATTGTGTAAAAAACATGAGATGTCGAAGAGTTTATAAAGAATTCTATTTTGAAAAAGTCTCTTAACATTTCTCTCAAATAGTTTAAACCTTGAGATCCTTTAATTAATTTCTTGTATCCCAAGTCTAAATGGTGTGCAGCCTTCTTTATTTACTTTTTCTTGGTGCCACAATGCCATCAGATCCATTGGGCAGTCTGCTTCTTTTTCTTCTATCGAAATTATGCCCTTTAATTACGTTTTAGATTTTCGACAAAAAAAACAAAGAAAAACTACTTTTTAGATTAAGCATAAAATCAGCACCCAATATATTGATATATAATCAAGGATTTCATCCCAAATCAAAAGTTACGCCAATAGTAGATAAGATAGTTCATATAATTTGGTGCCGTGACTGTAAAATTGTTAATAATTACTGGGAAATGGACCAAATCCATCTAGTCCAAGATCCGGACCATTGAAATTTGATCAAACAGCTACCAACGGATGATTTTTTAAATGTTATAATAATTGTAACCGTTAGATCAAATTCTAACGGTCCGAATTCTGAATTAGATGGATTTGGTGGAAAGAGATCTTTGGAAAGGATCGCCTTTCCTAATTACTGCACCTTAGCACGAGGTCCATCAAAATAATTCTATGTCATGTCATTACTGCTTCATTGAAACTTCAAAGGGAGGGGTCCGAGGGGACAAAACAATTTAAATTAGATTATATTTACCAAGAAATAAAGAGTATTTAAGATTTTATCAATAAATCCAACGGGCCACGAGGCATCATCACAATTCAATTGTGAATTATAGCATGGGTTTCCCGCGGGCGACGTGATGAAACTCCAGTTGCCATCGCACTCTTTACGTAATATTTTTCTCCAATAAAACAGAATAATATATTTTCCCGGGAAAATCATATCTCTTTTTCGAATTTTTACCTCCAACGAAAACGAAAAAATAAAAATAAAAATAAAAATAAAAATAAAAATATCTCATACATATATATCCAGTGAAACTGGTGGAATCTCCAAATCAAAGTCTCACTTCAACTAATCTTCCTCACTCTCTCTCTCTCTCTCTCTCTCTCTCTCTCTCTCTCTCTCTCTCTCTCTCTCTCTCTCCCTCTCTCTCTCCCTCTCCCCATAGACAAGCATTCCGGCGACTTCTCCGAACAAATTTCGACAGTCGATAAGTGATGGGTAGTCATTGACTGAGGCGATCGGAGACGACCGCGATCATCATCATCATCATCATGTCGACAGTATGGAGCTCGGACTGCTTCTCCGAGCTACTGTGCGCAGAGGACTCCGGAATTCTGTCCGGAGAGTCGCCGGAATGCTCGTCCGAAGTGGAATCTCCGGCGTACAGCGAGGAAGAGTCCATAGCCGGATTCATCCAAGGCGAGCGCCACTTCGTCCCCGGTATCGATTACTTGTCTCGCTTACACTCTCAGTCGCTTGACGTTACCGCCAGAGCTGATTCTGTTGCATGGATTCTCAAGGTAAATCGTAAAGCGATATTTTTAATCGGAACGAGTTAATCAAATTCGATTCGAGTCAAATGGAGGGTGTGAATATTATTTCCCTTGAAATTAACGCATGCGCGTGAGAGCGTCTCTCTCATTGCTAGCATGTGCCGTGCGCGTGATCTTCATCAGCCGCCGGATCTATGTACACTGCGCTTCAGTTTCGGATGTATACCGGCGGCGCACATTAGACTAATTCCCTTGCAACAATCCTTATTTAATCAATTAATCAAATATTACGTTTTGTATACAGGTCCAGAGTTACTATGGATTTCAACCACTTACGGCGTATCTTTCCGTTAACTACTTGGATCGGTTCTTATACTCCCGCCGGTTGCCGGTAAATTTAATCTTCGTTAACGAATAAATTGAATAATGTTGAAGACTATATCTTAATTATTGGTGAAAGACTTCATTACTTTATTGACTATTTTAAAAAATAATAACGTTAGTTAGTTAATTGTATTTTGTTAGAATAAAGAGGCCGGTATCGATCAAATCCGCATCAAAATGCTTAAAATAATTACCTTTTGTCATTCTCAATATAGTAATTACTTTCGACAAAAAAAAACGTATAGTAATTACATTTGACCTTTCAAACGTACAACAAATTAGGAAGAAACTAAGAAGTCGACGGTTCAATCTGAACAGTAGGTGATTTGTCGTACGTCTTGTTCCATTATAAACCTTTTATATTAGGTTAATCTCACTTTATAATTACTACAGTGTCAAAGATTCTAATTATTACATGCCTTTGTATATAACAATAAGTTTTCTCTGACACGTGCACTGCACGTGTTAATACTTATAGCATTCTTTATCAAGTGCAAACAAATTACACAGGAATCTTAATTAATTAAATCCACATGACGACGATAATACTTTTTATAATAGTACGCGTTTTGTTTGTTTATTGTTTGATCAGCAAGCAAGTGGGTGGCCGATGCAACTTTTAAGTGTTGCTTGCTTGTCCTTAGCTGCTAAGATGGAGGAACCTCTGGTTCCTTCGCTGTTGGATCTTCAGGTACACACATTATACCTAATCAAACCCTAATTTTATTTTTTTCTTAATCTAAACCTATTTGATTGATTTGATTAATTGTGTATGACAATAATATTAGAAAACAGCTAGCATGTCATTTATATTTTAAGATGTACACGTATCACAGGTAGAAGGTGCCAAGTTTATATTCGAACCCAGAACAATCCGCAGGATGGAGCTTCTGGTGCTGAGTGTTTTGGATTGGAGGCTACGATCTATAACACCCTTCAGCTTCATCGCTTTCTTTGCATGCAAGCTCGATCCAACGGCAACTTTCATTGGCTTTCTCATTTCACGCGCCACGGATATCATCTTATCGAATATCCAGGGTACGTGTACGTAATACATACGTATAGGTGTACGTACATGTATACATTGTGATAACTTTTTGATTAATTAGCTGTTAGTCTTGACCTTTTGTTGTTGATTGATTAATAATTATGTCGATCGATCAACAGACTCTAGCTTTCTTGAATATTGGCCATCATGCATTGCTGCGGCAGCAATACTTTCAGCAGCCGATGAAATGCCTAATCTGTCGCTTGAAAACCCTGAACATGCCGAGTCATGGTGTGATGGACTAAGCAAAGTAAGTACACATTCTTATTGTTTTAGGACACGATATTCTAAATTATTATAATCTACATATTTATTTTCATTATGAAAATTCCGAAATATTTCCATTTTCTAATCATTTGCAGGAGAAAATAATCGGATGCTATAGATTAATGCAAGATCTAGTGGTTCAAAATTGTCGGAATAAAAAGTCATTACCCAATGTGTTACCACTGCAACTCCGAGTTACGGTTCGGGGCAGAATGAGGTCGAGTTCCGACTCATTGTCCCCGTCGTTCTCATTATCATCCCCGTCATCGTCATCATCATCACCAATATCTTATAAAAGGAGGAAAACAAATAACTGCTTGTGGGTAGACGATGATAAAGGAAACTCCGAGTAGGGGAGATGGGAAAATTATAAATAAAAAAATGGTGGTCCAAAAGTTGTCTAGAAACCTCATCAATCATTTTTAGGAGGGTTTTTGGGATTAGAAATTGACTGATATTGGGGTTTTCTGTAGATTATAGTATGTATAATGTCTATATGTTTGAGAGTTTGGTGAGATTTTATTATTTTATTTGTTGTTTTTGTTGGTGGGCATTGCCATTATTCGTTATATAATGGCATTGCAGATTCCCAAGGGAGGGGGATTTGTTTTTTAGTACAGAGATATGTTTTATAAAATAGTGGAGTCATGGAAGCGTGAATGAAGTAGGGGATTGAATTCAAAGGGCTCATTGAAGCTGGTGGGACATGAAAGCGAGGAAAGAAAATAAAGGGTTGGCAAAATTAGGAATCGAGCTTTGAAGTTTGAGCAGTACTAAATTGAATGAGATCAGCGTGAAGTCGGATGAAACAGAAATACAAAAAATTTGTATTTTTGAAAGTGCTATCATCGGTTTGGGAGTGATCATATGATGTGATTCGAGTGTCATTACTCAAGTTTTTCTCCTCATCTAGCAGCATAATTATTGCTTCGACTACTCTACTATGTGCGTTTTTTGACGGGAAAGCCGAATGAACGGGTGCAGGTGTAGACTGAATACGATCGGTGGCTCCACCCATATTAGACTTTTGAGTGGGGTGTGTGTGCTCTCTCGCACTGCTTTGGTGGCAGAGTGCGTGGCGCACACCTGTGTATGTGTGCATTTTTGGCGGCAAATAGCCTCTTTTATAGGCCTTGAGGTGGGCCTATAACCATACTGATGAACTCTGGTGTTTACAAGGGTGGTGCATGGTCACTCGTGCCTACTCCTTTTTTTGTCTTAATTTATTTGATTTTTTGTAAGTAGAGAAAAAAAAACTCACGAGGAGGAGAAACCTCCTTAATATTGTCCTAAAAAATACAAGTTAAGGTCTTTGGGGCCTTTTCATGCGTGTTGTATTTGGTTCATCATCAATAAAATATCATCAAGATTTCTTTCACCTCTCTCTGTATAGCTATCTCTCTGTTAATGGCACATGATTGACAATACACAATTTGTAGTTTGGTGCTGTGTTATTTACTGTCTGGAAGTTTGTAAGTGATTTTAGCTCCTCTGCAAAGTGAAGGCCACGTTTGGTCCCTCTATCAATAAAGATCGATCAACAGTTCATTCATCGACCGTGACTGTTCATATTGTGAGAATGTGACCTCTTATCCTCACACATATAAATGCCTCTCGTGGCTAAGGATTAGAAAATCTGATGTGTCATTGTAAGCAAGTCACATGATGAATGTTGTTCACATAAGCGGACGAGAAGTTCTACTGTGTCACTGCGAGTTTGCGAGTAAGTTATGTGATAGATGTTCTACACATAACCGTAGATATCCCCAGCTGTATACCCGAGCGGATATATCTCTAGTACCATGGTAGGAAGCAAGTTATCTCGCGACCAACCCGTGCGTGTTCTAACACCTCTCCCAATATCAGACAACCCAGCCTGATAAATAGTGATATTTCACCTTCGCTATTGTATTTTATTGATCATCAGCTAAATGAGTAGGGTTTCAGTTTCGTTAATACGCAAAAGCTGAGTGTGAAATATGGTGGGGAAAAGCCAAGGCCTTAAAAGGTGCTTTTAATTAAGTACTTACAGCTTCTCACTACAGATAGAAAAAGGCCAGTTAAGAGACCATGTCATTTAGTCACAGATCCCCGACATGGGGTATATTATTTTTGCATGTAGTAACATCACATCTTATGAACTTTTATGCACATATGCCTTGTAAAAGGTAACCATGCATTTCGAGCAACTGCATGCATAGGCCATGCAATCTTATCAACTTCTCAATTAATTTTCCAGGTGGAAATATGCAAACCGATCGAGTATCCATCATCTCTCAAATCTTCTTACATCACTTTTATTTCTTTTAGTTTTACTCACACGGACACACATCTAAATTATGTCAATGGCTGTTTATTAAATGGACCACCGTGAAGTAAAACAACCAACGTAATGACAATTGCTGGAAAGAAAGTGCACTTTTCTCTAATTCCTCTTGGATGGTTGCCCTTTTAGGGTGTAAATAATGCCATCATCCATCAAGGAAAGCACCCATGCATGCTACCATGTTATTAATTAAATTAGGGTTTCTAGAGTGTACTTTTTTATTTTCTTGGAGAAAGTCGGGTGTTTGAATTTAGGGACCAAGTGTTGAATTTGAACAACCTCAGAGTTAATAAAAACATGGGTTTAGATAATTTATTCTCATTGATGAAGACTTAGCTACTTAATTACTTGCTGCTTTACAAAAGGATTTAATTAACTATGTTTCAACAATGTGGATCGGAATCCACTTGGTAGTTTAATTAAACGAATTGAATTAATCTAATTTAATTATGACTGGAACTTGCTACCATGTTATTAATTAAATTAGGGTTTCTAGAGTGTACTTTTTTATTTTCTTGGAGAAAGTCGGGTGTTTGAATTTAGGGACCAAGTGTTGAATTTGAACAACATCAGAGTTAATAAAAACATGGGTTTAGATAATTTATTCTCATTGATGAAGACTTAGCTACTTAATTACTTGCTGCTTTACAAAAGGATTTAATTAACTATGTTTCAACAATGTGGATCGGAATCCACTTGGTAGTTTAATTAAACGAATTGAATTAATCTAATTTAATTATGACTGGAACTTGCTAATTAAACAATTCATGCAACATGGAATTGCCTCATTAGTCCAGCTAGCTTTGGTTTTTTAAGTGGGAGCCATGAAGAGTAATTTGGACCAGACGGATCTGTCACCAAATGCCAATTGGGATCCACCATATTTTCCTTATTTTCTATCCTCCCCCACTAAAAAGGTCACCCATTAGACAACATGCAGGTCCTCAGGTTCGGTGATCAACAACTGATAAACCTAATCTATTCACAATTAGCCCACCTCGTAGCCCTATGGGTGATATGTGACAAAAAAGCTTAGCTTTAATTAAAACATAAGTGTGACGGGAAATAGGACAAACCGTGGAGCGCAATGACATTGCTATCAAACAAACCGTGAATCTTTATCGAAGATCATATATATTTTTGACTTTTCCACAGCAGCCATAGATCGATGGTGCTGTTTAATTACACCAAAGTAGATACAAATGTCATGCTCGTATAATATGCTTTTATAGTTCCTAAGGTTGGTTTAAGGTTGCTCAAATTTTTTTCAGAAGCAGCTTCTTAAAAAAGTTGAAACTAAAATTGTGTTTAGTAAAAGAAAAAAAAAAGTGTTAGTTTTTTTAAAAACCATGGGTCTAAAACAGCATAATAAAATAGAAGCAATTCTAACCATTATTCTAATTAAAAAAAAGGTCTTTTCAAGAAGACACGTTACTTTAACTTTTAATAAAACTTTTATATTAACAATATTATCCATTTTTTTCTTTTTGCTAAAAGCAATTTTAGCATTAGAATTTGGGAACTTTAATGAAAAGCACCCGGTAATGTTCACTTTAACGAAAAACCACATTTTTACACTAAAAAGTCAATCCTGGTACTATTCACTTTACCCTTTATTTTGTCCTTATCATTAAAACTCAAAGTTTTCAAGCCTTTTTCATTAGTTTTCCTTTAGAATTTATCAAACACCTATTTATTTTTTCCGCAGATATTTATTTCCATAGCACAACAAAAATAATTTTTTTTAAAAGTACATCAATTCGAAATTAGCCCTAAATCACATGAGCAGTAGGGTTTTTCAGGGTCCCTTGAGTATAATTTGATGGCGGTACATCGAACCCGCAAATTGGGGAACGATGGTGACATGGCCCCTTCTCATTGGATATAAAAAGGTAGAACGTTTTGTTTTGTTTTGAATAGGAATAGGGTGGTGGTGGTGCCTATGTGAATTTGGATATTGCAGGCAATTTCTTCTCCTCATTATTTATCCCTCCGAATTCCAATCATGATCAAGGCCAAGCAGTAAAGTGTGGGGAGTTTGGGTTGTTGATGATTAGCATGTTGCCATCATTCACTTATTATATAACAAGAAGCATATGTTGAAATATTGGATGTGGTAATTGACAATCATGCATCGACTGTTGAATTGTTGAGAAACTTGAGATTGTATGTAGACCATATATCAATAAGAGGATCGTATGTGTATAACTCAAATAGTTACAATAACCAATGTCCAGTGATTTTACCTTTTCCAAGTACATATCAAGATTAAAGGTTTAACATTAGCTGAGCTCGATCACTCATTTTAGAATGAAAATAAGCGTTCTATCTCTTAGGCTGTAAGTGATTATATCAATAAATGGCTATTTAATTTGTTTATCTTAGATTGTATATGAGGGAAAAGGATCCTCACAGGATCTTCTTTGTGGGGATCTAGGAGATCAAGCAATCACGACCATGCATCGTATATCGTGTGGTTAAAAATCATTTTAAATTCCAATTTTAAAATTGAATATAAATAGTATCTAACGAAAACTGACTACACGATATACGATGAACGATCGTGATTGCTTGATCCCCCGGATGCCCACAAAGAAGATCTGGAGAGGATCCTTTTCTGTATATGAGAGAATGGAATTGCATGGACCCAACCCTTTTATTTTTCAGTGATGAAAACTTGTCACGTACTTTTTTTTTGTTAGAAAAAAGTTTAGGGGGAGGAGAGGCTACCTCATTCCAGGGTCATGGCGTATCATAAGCTTCATTGAGGACTTACAGAGAAGGTCTTAAGCATTTTTTTGGTTTTTATACATCGCTCACTAAGATAGATTGCCGACAATAGGACTTGAACCTAAACCTTGGTCTAACAAAGAGAAAGATCCTTACGAACTCAACCAATCATCGTTCGTATCTACATACTTCTTTTTCTATAAACAAAATGGGGTTTTAAAGTGAGGAGTCCAAAGTATAAACCCTAAAGCCAAAATTTCTCTCTCATAGTGCTAAAGTAAGAGGTTTGGGGGTGTAGGGAACAGAATTTTGCTCTTTACCTACTCCTTTTCTTGCGGAATTTTCAACTCTTCGAGGCCAATGGCAAAGATAGAGGACCCTAATATTCATCCTTTAAAGGTCATTTTTCGTTGTAAAAAACATGTTCGTGGGGTTTCTGCAAAAGACCATAGGTACCTTAGACCTGAAGGGTTCAAAAGCTAGAATGATGCTGAATATTTCAATATTAGGGTTTAAACTTTAAGCTGAATGCAAGACACCACCACTCTCAAGTCCTTGAAATACTCATTGTCCCCATCCCCATGTAAAAATAAAATAAAATCAATCTAAAAGAAAAGAGGTTCAAAACAAAAAAACTGCGAAATTGGTTAAAATTGCTAAAATGATTAGTTTTTTAATATGTTGTCAATATTTTGATCGTTATATTGTCAATTTTTTATCGTTTAGTAATTGATACGTTATCAATATTTAATTTTAATTAGTTATGCAATTAATTCGATTTTGATAATTTTAGTCAATTTTTTAAGAAAATTTGATCATATGCCCCTTCAACACCTGTGTAAAATTCATGTTTTGCCGAATGACACATAAATGTATATAAAGGGTAGTACAATCCATACACTCCTTTTTACATTTCAAACACTTCTCTCAATTTTCGCCCGTCAGATCAAATAAATTGAAGAATATCACAAAACATAAATTGACAAAATGTGTGGGAGAGGTAAAAGTGGAATCGTGTATATCATCCCCTTATATAAAAAGAGATAGTATGTGTAACTTGATTAAATCAAAACTGGAGAGTCTTTGGATGCCAGAAAAAGAAGTTGAAGGGGGTAGGAGATGGAAATGCACGAGGGCCGGTTGGCTATTCTCGAGGGAGCGTGTACGTTTCTGATATTTTCTTCTTTCTTTTGCTTTTTTGATAGCGCCTGGAGCTGGACCTCCATTCCCAAGAGTGGAGACAAAAGGGTTGTCTGTTTAATCATCAATATAACTTTCAACAGCCACCACAATCTCTCTTTGTTTAGATCATATCATGCATATATATCCATCTTAATTAATTATATATGTGCACATAACATAAAACATGTTTCTTTTCTTGTCATAATTTCATCAAAAGCAAAGAAAGTGCAACAAAATGTCTTTTGCTATAGTATAAAGGAGCATGTGGGTTGAGTCGTTATTATAGTAAAACCCTAATCAACGATGCATGTTAATAGCTTGAAATCTAACGTGTTATACTGTATGAGAAAAGAAAGTTATTATATATGTGAGGCTAAACAAATCACTAGACAAGTAGATTGCAAAAATAATACTTAACCAAGTATGAATGATAGATAAATATGACTTGAGTTTACTAATATGTCGTATGACTTAACCCAAAAAGACATTTGTAGCCGAAAGTTCCTACTCAGACTGCATTAAAAAATGATCAGGACAAAGAAAGGATTCGAGAATTCCCTAATTATGTTTAGGTATAGAAGACCGGTGAAAGGTTGGCCTGGTTGTTGAAAATTTGGAGGGTTGAAGGCATAGACCCCTATATCTTGGGTGCAAACCCATATAACTAGTCTAAAAAATGAAATATACGCCTAATTAAAACGAGAATACAATTATTTCCTTTAATAATTTGGTATTACTATTAAGAGAAATTGAATAATGGTATTGATTAGTTTCTTTGTCTCATGAACATGCTCTAGTTCTTTAAGTGGCATAGCACTTCTCCCCTCTGTCTTTGCATCTGGGATACGTTACAAACAGAAAAAAGAGCAAGGGTGTATGCATCTAAACAATTATTTCTAGTGCATTCCAGTTCAACAACCCACAAAGGAAAGAGAATCAAAACAAAAAGAAAATCTTCAAAATGAAACCAAGACAGGAGACTTTGTATCTCAATCGAATAAGAACTCAATTATTCACTCGAAATTTTGTATTTGACTCTCTCTTATTGTATAATACCGATTCTCTAAATGAATGAGAAAAGATAAAGAAAAAGAGAGAACATAATGGAGAGTTTGGGATTTGATGTGAACTTATCCATAGACTAACAATCGCTTTAATTGGGGTGGATGATTTTGTTTAGCACAAAGACTCCCCCAAAATGTTTGATTTATTAATGCAAAGTTGCAAAGAAAGTTCACATTGCTTGAGGATTAACGTGTTAAATTAGTTGACCAAAAAAAAAAGAACATGTTTAATTAGTAGACACTTTTCACCAAACTTTAGAAATTATTCCAAAGCTCTTCTTTCTATTTGTTTTCTGGGTAATGCTAAGGAAACTAGATTTGCAAACTAAATGATGTATCACTAATAAGAATGCGCACGTTTATCAATGCTTAAGTAATAAATAAATCATCAACTTACATGTCCTTTACTTTTCAAAATTTTGTCAACAAATTTAGTCTCCCTAACATTCTTTTGTTTTGTAGCTGCCTTTTCCACCTTGTTCTTCAAAAAGTGGTTGTTGTGGAGAAACTAGCAGTTTGTCCCCATTTTAAGGAAAACCAAAATTTGACTGGCTCCTCCCAATGTGTTAGAAAACTAGTAATTTATAATCTCGCACTAAGTAATAAGCAAAGTACAATAACATGTAGTATCCAAAACTTTATCATAACGTTGAAAAAAAAAACTTTCATTTTGTTCTAACCTTTAGGGGTTTCCATTTGCATCTAAAAAATTTATCATTTTACAACTTATTTTACACACACAATAACACATTCTCGCCTAAAAGTTTTCCTTTTGTATTACGATCATATAGAACAACTTGTGTTCGCACGGACACTACGTTATATGCAGAGTAACTCTTAATAAAGCATGCAATATCTTATACGTCAATCACAAGTCATGTCAAAACTAACTTGATCAGATAGTCTTATATAAAATTTTCAGTAGTTCAGAAAGCCATAGAGGCCCATAAGATCTGAAACCCAAACGTTAGCCAGCGATCCTAAAATACTGGCCCATTACAATTCTACGACAAATCCAATCGGCCCAATTCGAATAATATTGACGTCGTTAGAATCACATACGGCATTCTGTATGTCATCGTGTACTCCTTACCAATGGCGATGCACGCACCCAGGGTGGCTGTTTGCCCTCTCTCGTTTGGAGCCCAGCACTCGCTCCTCCCTCCAAAACCCCATAATCGGCCGTTATTCATATTCTTCGTCCGCCATTAAAACCCATATTCCGAAACGCCCACCGAATAGCCGCCAAGAGCCACGGCGGCGACGCCCTACAAGTATACTTTATCCTGACCCAATTACCCAATTCGCAGAATCTGCAAGTATGTTTGAAAATTCATGCTTTTTTTTTTTCTTTCTGGAATATGAAATGCATGTTTGATTGTGTAATTAGCTTGAATTGTATGTTGCAGGAGACCCAGAATTTCAGGGCTGAGCATTCCAGGAGGCTGTTGGAGGAGAAAGAGACTTTTGGGCCTGACCTCCACGGTGTGATAGGCGTCTGTGCAGAGGTATGTTAATCTTCCTGCAACTAAATTTAAATTCATATTTCCAATGGGTGAGGAACAATTAGTTGATAAAAATGACATCTTTAGGAGTGTAAGAGCAACTCCAGCGTACTGACTATTGAATATGTCAGTAACAGTAACTATATTTTACATTTCTACCTTAAACTGAATAGCTATAGGCAATAAAATATTAGTATTTTTTATTTTATAAAATAATAAAAAATAATTTTATTTCAAATTTCGGATATAATTTTTAATCGGTCTCATTGTACCACGTTTCATTAAATAAGAAATTACAATTTAAAGTATTTGAGAAAATATAAAATTGTGGTCTAAGATAATGATAAGATATTTATAGAGAAATTAAATCTTTTTTTTTTAATTTTTTTCGGATTTTTTATTAATTGTTTACATTTAAATTTTTTTTTTTACATTTTTTATTTATTTTATAATGTGGCTGACATCATCCTGACGTCAACCTTGCATCATGTGGCCTCAGGCTCTCGGGCCATCCTTTCGAGTTGGGCCTCTCACTCGGGCCTCCCTTGAGCCCCATTGCTCGCATGGGCTGGAACAGATTGCTAGGGCTATTGGGTCATTTTTGTCGCTCGTCCATCGGGCTACAGCTCACGCTGGAGTTGCTCTAATGTGAGGGAAGTTAATTGAAAAGATTAAAGGAATAGTACAAAGAGGATACTCTGCGACTTCCATTACCCCTAGGGAGTAGGAACTATTACACAAGGAAAATTATCGAATCAAATACAAAATTGACTATGGTTGTCTCCTAACGTAGCAAAACCATATGCTGCCTTGTTAGCTTCTTGGAAAAATATGATTTAGCCCATGGTTATGAATTTGAGGGAAACTAATAAAATGCCATTGTTTTCCCTCATGCTTGTAACTCAAGTGGATAAAAGTATTCACCCTGCAAATGCCTGAGTTCGAAATTTTGGACCCAATTTTGCTTGTAAAAAATGATTGATGAACGCTGAACATGTAACTCTGTGTATGAGCAGTAACTGGATCATCTAGTACTAGAAATAGGACTTGGTTGTGAACTTGTGGTGCACCCAAAACTCTCTAGGGGCAAAATTAATGGGCTATTTATTGTTCTCGACTTTCTGGTGCTGACTTAAGAGTTGATTACCGATGTGACATGTGTTCTTAGCATTCATGGCATCTTTAATCTGTGATCTGGGTGTTGGATTTGATTTCTGACTCACTTATAGGCGTAGTCACCTAATCTTTCCATGGCTGGAAACTCTCTCCACCTTTTAATCTCAAATGCAAGCCATGACCGGCTGGAGGGGGAAAGGGATATGAGGGATTTCCTTTTCAAATTTTAAGTTCTTACCCCAGTTGTATGATAAAGATTGATACCTGGGGCCTTTGAGTTGCAACTTTTTCGGTGCAAGCCAACCCTCTATGTGAATCAGCAAAACATTTGTTCCTTTCTTTTATAATATCTTTGGTGTGTGAGTGAGCCTGTGAGGCCACGAGTTTTGCTTGACCCGTAAAACAGTACAATAATTGAGCCTTTGGACAAATATCTGACTCGACTCCCCTGTATTATTTTCCAGACAGCTTCCATTCTTTGTGGCAGATGTTTTGACTCATTACTACCTACAATATCAATATGTGGTGCATGAAGCTTAAGTCTAAACTGCTGGGAGATGGATTCGAACTCAGATGTATAGGGTAGAGCACATCCGCTATAGCCAGTGTGGCTACGCCCACGTCTACAAAGTTAGATTGCATTACTATTTGAATGACTCAGAATTAACCAATTTAATTTGTGGTTTCAACCCAGGTAATCGGTGACTTCTTGCAAAAGGAGTATGGAGGACCTGGGACATTGTTGGCAGAGCTTGCACTTGGTTGGTCTGAAAGAGAAGGAACTACCAGGAGCACCTTTGGCTGCAAGAACATCTCCGCTTTGGGCTCAAATCAACCATGATCGAGACCGGGAAATCAGGAACTCGAAATCGCAAAAATGATGTTTCGTTTGTAATCAACAATAGTGTAAATTTAATTTAGTTTTGCATTTCTCCAGACCATTTTGTATATCAAACACCCAAAAAATTGGGGAAAAGACCCATTGTCTACCAGCAAGCTCACACTTCTAATACAATGTCAGATTCAGTGCTTGTTTTTTGTGTGTTGCTATACAGATGGATTATTGCTTTCAACATGGGATGAATTTTGTGGGTGATGCGATTGACATAGGATTAGAAAACTTGGTACCCGATTCCATGAATTTCGGGTTATCGATCCATTTTGCACTCACTCTATTGTCTACTTTCATTGTGTTCACTTTCGATGTTTGGAAACCGCTGATCAGTTGCGCCCTCACAGATGCTCTGCAACGAGGGGCGCCAAGACTTCGACCTCAGCGCAGCAGCAGCCGCAGCAGCAGCATTCGCTGATGATGTCCCTGGTCGGTGCCTTTCGCGTTTTGAAGCCTGAAATTATCCACATGGCTAAAGCATTAGTATTTGATATTTCCAACCGATAACAAGTTTTTCAAAACGAAAAGATTACAAGGGTTGTTCAAATCTACATACATGGTTGATATTTTCCTTCTCATCAGATTTCGCTGCTTCCTCTTTGCAGCCCGAACAACCTGAATTCTCCTTCCCTTGCTCCGTTTGCAACTTCTCGAGCACTTCGAGCTGCTGTTTCTTCGTTTTCGCATATTTTTTTGCCTTCAAAACCTTCATAACCTCTACAAAATCCACCAAAAAAAGCCCAAACATCAAACACAGAACCTTTCAAACCAAACGACAACCCCAAACTCCAAAACACAAACACAAAAATCTCATACCTTGAGTGGTGACCAGCCGGTAGGCATGGCCAAGAGCGAGAGTTTCGTTCGGCCGGAGAAGCTTAATGCGAGTGAAACGCACCGCTTTGCCGTGCTCCTCCTCGTGATTCTCTGCTACTTGTTTGTGATTTTGTTCGGAAACCGGCAATGGAATGATGAGGGAAACGTAGTGACCGGGGTTCAACCTCATCACCTCACTCGCACTTATAGGCCAATACATCCTCTCTATCTTCCCACTCGGATGCTGTATCACCAGAGCTGCTGCATCAATGGCTTGACAGTTCCCCATCTCTCTCTAAAACCTCTCTCTCTCTAGATTCCAACGAAAGAAGAAGACGACGACGACAATGAAGATAGAGAGATAAGGAGGAAGAGGAAGAAGAAGAAGGAAGTCACTTTCTATACAGCTCTCCTCCCATATGCTCACACCCCACAAACCCCAAAGATATTAGCAAAAATAAGTTAAGCCTAAAAAGGGTTTAAAATTTTTTCTTAGTAGGCCGTCCGCCCATCTCTCTCTCAGTTCCCCAACTAACTCATGCTACGTGATTTATATTAAACCTAATTAACATTAATTAAGCAACGAGTAAGAGAGCACCGGCTTGGTGATTACGAAGCGGGTCTAGTGCCACGTGGAGAGATACTAGATGGTAGTGGTTTGGAAGGACATGCTCGGCGGTATCGACGGAGTCAAGGTTTAGGGACTTGGGAAAAACCGAAGCTACTCATTTGTGTAAGAAAAAAAATTATATGACCAAAGCGGCAGACGCAGTGCGTGCGTGTGCTAAGATTCTTTTGCTTTTAAGTATGGACAATCGACAACGACATCCCATCACACACTATTTTGGCGAGGTTCCAACTTTGTGTTTGGTTGACGAGTTCTAATTTTGGCGAGGTTCTCACTTTGTGTATGGAACTCTTTATACACGTTGCGTCCACTGATAACCATGCATGATTTATTTTCTGTAATAATTTTTTTAATTATGTATGAGTAGTACTCATTGAACATAGGGGCTGCTATGCGTATAAAGCAACCCGCTAATGTGTGTTTGTGTTGAAATATTTAGGCACTATATATGCACAACTTTTCGTACAAGCTTCAGTGTCCAATGCAATTTTGAGTAGGACTGGATCAAAGTGACATCTCAAAATATTTAATTAGAGATTTGAGTGTTTCTAATCGTAACTTTGATCTATTTATCAAGCCATCTACTTGCCCATCTCTAATTTTTTTTCTATATCTAAATTTATATTTTCACAAGTAGAATTATGAAAAAAAATGAGGGTGATTACTTTCATGTCACGTTTCATGGTGACTAATACTTAAAGATAAAAATTTAGATAATTGACCTCATTTAGTAGAATGACTAGACAATTTCACAAAGAAACGAGTCTCACTATATTATGTAACAATTGATACCATGTAAATATAACTTTTAATGTACACTTCATATATCGACTATTCGAACTACCCTACTAGATAAACCATAACTTGAATCATAACTTTTCATTTATAATTCAGAATATGCAACACATTTTCTGTTTTGACTTGTGTAATATTTGTCACTTAACTTGCCGAAATAGTTTTCACTCCAAACCACCAATATTCTAAGAAGGCAATGTTAGAGACATTATTTTTTTAAATTACATTTTGTAAACCATATGATGCGATTACTAATGGTTGATTTTCTTTTTTAAGTTTTATTTTATTGCTACATTATGTGATTTAAAATTATTATCTCTCTAGTAGTTTCTTTCTAAGAAAGTTTGAAAAATATTAGTTGTCCATGGTGATAAGTAGTTGAGTAATGGTTTAGGGTTTCAATATTCCAAAGAATGGGAACTTAGGTCGCGGACATGCATATACAACAAAAACAATCGTTTCAACCCATTTATAAAATTATTATTCGTTATATTTAAGGGTTAATTGAGATTATCACTTACTACTATGGTCTAGTTGTATTCCTCTTCACTTGTAAGTGAGATGTCTTAGGTTTGATTATTGTCAAAGGTAAATTTGAATCACATTATTGCTAGCTAATTGTGAAGCTAAGTTCACTTCTCCTTTTTAATGTAGATAATATCGTTTGTTAAAAAAAAAAAACTAATTGAGATGAAAAAATCGCATATTACCCACAAATAAAGAAGATCACTGAAGTCGACTGCCATAATCAAATCATGTTTAAAAGTTTGGGAGCAAATCCTGACAGATGACATATCAAATTTACAATTGTTGTCACATAGTCGATTTGGAACCCCAAATTATGTTACACAAGCAGAACATATAATTCGAGCAAATGAAGAATGAAAATTGTACAATTTTCTGGTCTATGTTTAAAAAAATATTTATCCTTTGGATAAAGAGCAAAAATCCTGACCACTAAAGAGAGAAGATGGTAATATTTCTGACAGTCTTTGACTATCAATGTACATCTGATTTAATTAAGCTATAAACATATGAGGTTAATTAAAAACCTTATACATAAAAGAAAACTAATGAAAAAAGTTTGAAACTTTGAGTTTTAACGATATGACAAAATAAAATGTAAGGTGAATAGTACCAAAATTGATTTTTTTAGTATAAAAATATGATTTTTTGTCAAAATGAATGGTACTTGAAACTTTTCATTAAAGTTCTCTATATATAATCACATATTGTTCATATGTAAACATCCCTTGGTTAATGTCACGTCTGTGTATGTAAGCCATGTGAGGTGTTTGTGAGAAATTTTTTTTGGCTCACATATTTAATGAAAAAATGGACTATTTCTTGTTCAAAGGTGACTTAAGTAGGACACCCGATATTACATACAAAATGGCCTTAACTTCTTTTGGATTTGGGTGTGACAGTCATTAATTAATAAAAAATGTTTTTATAAATTATAAATCCCTTCGTTTTTTATATTGGTCGTTGAAATTTGTCAAATTCCTCATTTTAATCTTTAACTTGAAAGTCAATTAATGTTGTCCCTGAAATGATATTACAAATTAATATATTTATTATGTTAGAGTTTCTTAAAACTTTGTTTATGTGCCTACGTGGCACACATGTGGGATCTACTACTACAACAATATGGTGCCATGTGGAAAATACAAAAATTAAATTCTTTTAAAATTTTAAAATCCATTAAAAATAAAATAATATTCGACAAAAATAAAATAATAAGATAAACTAAGAGTAACAAAGAAAAGGATATCATCCTCCTTGATTTGCAACGTCAAGGATTAAATCAATTAAAATAAAAAATAAGATCAACCAAATCGGCACACTAATAGAATGTTTGACCAAGTTACAACAGAGAATTATATTGATTTGCAACGTTAAGTCCTAAAGATGACATTGATTGATTTTTAAATTTATAGACTAAAATATAAATTATTTGGTTAATTTGAAGAACTATTTGCGATAAAAATTCTTTATAAAGTATATATCCCTTCACTTTTTATAATATTTGGACAGCTTTAAATAGAAGAACCGGATGGCTTTCAAAAATTTCAATAATAATAATAATACAGATGTTCATAGGTTGCAGCTTGTTGGGGGCGGCAAGGAAAGATTAGGTCTTGAATTTCTGTTCCTCCTTGGCCTCTAAACATTCTTGAAATCAAGAACTTAACATGCATTTTAGTATTATTTTTCTGTACTTGTAAATGAAGAGTCTAGAAATTTAACTCATCTTGATGACGAGTTCGATACTAATTGATTAAAATTGACCAATTGTACGGTTTAACTCAATCTATCACCGCTCAGTGTAAATACATATACATATATATATATATATAATATATATATATTATATATATATATATAATATATATATTGTATAAAAAACATTCTTGATACCTGATTAAAGTTTAAACCTTTGCCACCAACCAGTGGACTTTGAAAGGGTCTTGTTTAATTAGTGTAGGGTTTGCTCTTCTTGTTCTTTTCTTCTTGTTATGGACAAATGGGTTTCAATGCGTGTCTTTCTCCACATTCTTCCCCCTCCATAATACTAAACACAAACTATCCATTCTAACAATTTTTTTAAGTTTATTTTCTCTAAACAGTGGATCGAATCGGAGTGTCGAAGACTCCGACGACATTAGGGGAACAAAAAAAAAAAAAAAAAAAAAAAGGAAAGAAGAGGAAGGATACTGTAACTGGTGTCACTGGCTTTAGTTTTTGTTCATGCATCAGGATCACAAATCTTACTGAGGAACTAGACTTAACTGTATTTTAATTACGAGATGTTTGTTAGATATAAATTTGGGGAGGGATTTGTGGCACCATTTTTTTTGTATAAATTTTTTATAAATGTTTTTGTAGGGCTTATTTCG